GGGGAGGGGAGGGGAGGGGACGCAGGGCCGACAGCCCCCAGGCGCCAGGAGCGGGTTGGTGGCCGGGTGGCAGCGAGGTGAATGCCGTCCGTGTTCTCTGCGTTACCTGCAGCCTGGCTCCCCTGGAAGGGCTTTGTGTCCTAGCTTGGTCCCCATTTCTGCTTCTGTCCTTCGCTCCCCAGGGACATGCCAAACTTGGGTCTCTGGGGGCAGCCCTGGGCCCTCCCATAGACCCACAGGGAAGCCGAGAAGCGCCCCTTCGCTGGGCTCTTCATGCGGTGATTAGCACGGGCCCACTGCCCTGTTTAGCATTGGGTTACCTGCTGGTTCCCCCAAGTTGCAGAAGGGCAGGATCTGCCCAACAGCTCTCGGAAACCCCAACTAACCAACCAAACAACCCCCCCCCCCCCATTCCATGACTGCCCAGTCGACCCCACCTGGCTGCGCCCTGGCGTTTTCTTGGCAGCCTCTTTACAGACGCAGCATGGCAGGCCTTTCTTTCGTGGTGCCGCTGCGGGGCGGGCTCAGACCAACAACCTTTAGATACTAGCTGAGCTCAAAGCATTTTCACCGCCCGGGGACCTCAGTGCTCCTCACGTGTTTTCTCTGCCTCCGTGCGGTTTGTAAGCGGGTGGGTGCCGCACCTTCCTCGGTCGGCATTGCGGGGTACCCTGTGTGTCTTGTTGTTTTCCCCGTGGCTCGCTCAGGGGGTGACTGGACAGAATAGAGGTGCTCGGTAAGGACTGCGTGAATTCAGCTGGGCTGGAAATCTCAGACAACCCAAGAAGATCCGAGTCCTCACGTGAAAGGAAATGTGCAGATGGAAGAAAAGGTAGAGTACCCCACATCTGCTCCCCCCAACCCCTAAACTAGGGGTGTGTAACTCTCTACAGGAATCAAAAGCCTCATCTTTCTCTCTTGGAGCAGCTGGTGGTTTCAACCCGCTGGCCTTGCAGTTAGCAACCCAACACAGAACCCACTACACTACCAAAGCTCCTTGTATTGACTAGGGGGTCTTTCTTCTAGAAAGGCCTCTTTGGAGCCTACCCTGGGGCCTTCTGGCTCAAGGGACTGCGCACTGCTGCCCTCCTCTGGACACAGAGCAGAGCTGCGGGGAGACGTGGTCGGCGGCCCGGGCGCCCGGTGGTTTCCTTCCCTCCCTCTCTGGCAGGCAGTACTGGGCAAGCTGGTGCCTCCGCTGGCTTCTCTCACAGGTTGTTGTTCTTTTTTCGGTGTAACTGGCTGTTGGGTTTTATTTCTTTTATTTATATATATATATATATAT